TTTCGTTTTATTAGCAAATCAAAAGGGTCAGTTACTTCTGGGACACCCTGTTTTACTAGACACTATGCGAAGTTCTAGACTGAACTCAAAGCACAACGGGGCGGGTATGCTTTGTAACGCGATGGACGATTTCCCATTTGCCACTACCATATGCTCCGGACAATAAAACATCATTACGAGGGAGCAAGAAAAAACCGACTCCTATCTCGGAAGGCCGAACTATTAAGTCGACTGGTTGCTTTCCGCGATATGAACTGGCAGCTGAAAGGTGTGTTGGTTTTATTATAGTGTGAAGTTGGTTGCGTAACAGCTTTCCCTACTATGCGGGTTCGAGTCCCGCCGACGCCCTGAGTTTTATCACAATTGGGTCGAACAACCTAAAAAATAGTGAGAAGAATCGAGCAGAATACGTCTCAATTTCCCTGCAGTCTGTCCTCGTGTAATAATTGGACTGGAGATGAGGTTGGACACGGTGGCTGATTTGGCTCCCCGTCCCCCACATGTCCCATATCCTTACGGCCCATTTTTCGGCCTGACCTTGACCAACTATGATAGTAAATCAGAAGGGATGTATCGAATCAACCAAATCCCCGAACACTGTCCCTCCTTTGCATTTTTCTTACTCGTATAACTAACAAAACACACTGGTATCAGCAATAGGCCTTTTAGTCCTTTTCTACAATTCTACGTCTTTCGAAAACCGTTTACAGGCGAGCTAACATCTCTTGCGTATTCATCCAAATTTTTAATCGACAAGTCTTTACTTGTGAAGCAACAGCATTAAGAGTTCTGTTTTATTTTACCACGTTCTGACCATCGCGGCGTGGAACTTATTATATCCTTCCACTAATTTGGTTTTTGTGTCTTTAATGGCTAATTTAGCGGGGGGATGTACAACATCTTTTTGGAATAACTTAAAAACCTACCTTGATGCAGTAAAGAACCATTTTATTTGCGTCTAGTCTTAGGTTCAGCGCAGGAGAATCCGCCTCTGTCCACGGCCGACTTATCAGCTGACATTGTAGAAAGGTTCTCTCGGTTTGAAAGTCTATAATACAATTCTCTTTTTGAGTTCTAGTTAACTGACTAAGGCGAAAAGTGTTACCAGGCAACTTATGCTCGCACTTTGATAAATGAATTTGAATCGGGTTTCTTCTTTTAATACCAAATTTTTGAGACGATGGACCTGTGGTTGTGGCATAAGTTTGGGTCTCTTGCTTAATAATATTAACGGCCGGTTGGCGATATGATTGTACCCTAGACGGACCGACCTTGTTCACAAAAATACCTGTACTTATCGAAATAAATAATGATAGACGGTTCAGGAGGAGTACAAATTTAGGCCTAAACTAAATTCGACCAAACAGGGAAATGGGACAAGAAGATCCAATGACAAAAGTTGGCAGTCTGCTGTTAATGTAAAGCACACAAAAGCGTTCAGGTAGCAAGAGAAGGTAGGAGGAAGAACTATTTGCTCACTAATCTTCATAATTAAAGCGGGTTTCAGTCCTACATTTGACTAACCCAATCCCATTCATCACAAACTACAGCCCTGAATAGAAATTCCTGCAACGGTCCAGCATCATCCTCTACCGCGAACCCAGACTGAAAAAGCTATGATCTATAAGTCTATCTACGATCTACGAAGTCTATAAGTCTCGTCCTACTGGATCGATTGATTTAGGTTTCTGTACAGTTACCACGCAGTCAACATGATTAAATTTGAAAACAATGTACAATACGAAAGATCAAATTTGTATAATGCTCGCCTTACCATATGACGTAAGTATGATGTAGGAGGGATTCCTAAAAGACGAGAATTGCTTGCTGTAGGCGGGTGGGTTGGCGCTGCTGTCCTTCCCTGCAAAACACACTCATTATGCACTCTCCCTGCTCAGTTGGTCAAGTGGTGTTCATGAGAAACCATCGGAGCAGATAGCGTGAGTGTTTTATTAAACACCAACTAACGCGCCCCGCAGTTGTGCGACCAATGACTTTAATGAGCAACACGCCAACATCGAAGACGACAGTGATATATAGTGCCAGCTGAAATAAGAACTATACGGAGCTTTCTCAGCTTTAGTTCCCTTTCTTTTCAGAGAAGTTTCTGATTGTCACGCCATTCACTATGTCAGGCACCGCAAGGGGCGGTCTCACGGAGCAGTATCAACGAAACACAATAATCACCACAGCTCGCAGTTTTCCTTATATCACCACTCGTGTGGAAATTGTTGCTCACGAGGATGTTGTGCTTTCGCCGGTGGAAGTGGCTCTTCGTGATGTTCTTAAGCGAAATCAGCAGTTGACACAGGCCCTGGCAGTCCGTCCGCTCGACGCAAAATTTCTGCAAATGGTTCTACAGGTAGACAATAAAATCAGTCTGATATTCCATTTAAAAACACCAGAGTTCCTCTTTCCGTGGTCACTCGGGTGTAATCCCTCGAATTCACGTAGCAGGCAAGGCAAGCTCGGGGATCCTTTGTTCTTCATTTTTGACCAGTTCTTGTTTACTAAACTGTTGCATTTCCAGTAATTTTTTGTTCGTCGTAGTAGGCTTTTCGGTAACAATCTCATTTCGGGCAAGTGAAAACCTCAGCGTTATCTCATAGGGACCGGTGGTAATAGTGGTTCGATCAATGGGGCATATCAGAGGAAAGCAAGAAATTTTCAAAAAAAGAGCGTAAAACAGCAGATATAATAGGAATACTTATTTAAATAACTTTATGTTTGGCGCGCAATAATAAAATGAGAAATACAACCAATAGCAAACCAGAACTGTCCAATGTTGCCCGCTCATTGGATACAATCTTATATCGGCTCTATGTCGAGGTTAAGGTAGGACTTCAAATGAGAGGCTTTTTTTCCACTTTTAAAGCTCACAATTATTTCGAATGCATTTAGACCGACATTGTAATAAAATCCGTCGAAAAAGTAAAACTAAACTAAACTACAACTAAACTAACCAAAAATAAACTTAACCTAAAATTAAAGTAAACAAAAACTTAACTCCACCTAACGAAAAAATAATTAGAGATGTTTTGCAGACTTGAACAATTCAATTTACCAAATTGTATAAAATTCGTGGTCTCGATGGTATTCGAATCCATATCAGCAGGGCAGGTTTCAGTAACCCAACGCTCTACCAATTGAGCTACTAAGGTACGCGTGCAGTAGGCTGGGTGCGTAAATCGGCCCAACTGTGATTAAATTTACGGCTTTCCGCGTGCCTTCGTAGCTCAATTGTTAAAGCATGGGCTGATATGCGTAAGAATCCCAACGAGGCCATGCATTTTTTACAATTGGGTTAATTGAATAAACTGGAGCTAGTACAACTAAGATTGACCGCAAGACGCTGAAGAACTCCGTCTGGGGGTGCAGTGTGGATGGACTGTGTCGCGCCTTTGTAGTGAGAAAACGTGTTTACTACCACGAAATAAGTATATAGTTATGCATAGTAAGCATAGTGAGCCCGTAACGGGACGGTCACCGGCTGTCCTGTCCAAAGATGAAATTCACAACCGCAATGTAGCTCTGCTTCTGACTTGGCACAAATACTGTAAGCATCCTGAAACTAGGATATTCATTGCCTGTCTTCCCCGTATGAGCACACCAGTAGATCCGCAGCATTGACGAACGCATGCTGAAAGCAGAAACAATAGGCATATCTATTGAGAGTCAACAGTTTAGACAGTCTCACAAACCGTGGTTCGATCGCTACGGGGGATCGGTCTACTGCAAAGCTAATTCCCTCAACAAAGTGCAACTTGTCATCTCACTCAGGTATGCTAGCGGATGCATTAGTAGGGATGCCCTAGAAGCGTCGGCACAAATGAAAAAATGACGCTACTTGTCAGTGTGCGCGCAACCATATAACATTTAAATGTCATAGTTACCGATCGATTTCAATAATTTTTAGACTGTGTGATACGTCTTATCGTCTTCCGTCAATTTAAAAAGTACAGGACCTTGAATAAGCGTGGTAAAATCCCTTCGCTAAATATTATGCGAAAGACAAACTAGCTTTTTGTGTTTTACCGTTGTCTGCGTCACCATAGGATTGTTTAGCCTCTGAAGCCACACAAACCTACAAGCACAGTTTATACTGTTATCCTCGATGCACTTTGGCACCTTTTTGGCTTGCATATTTTGAATCTTTCGTTTTGTTTCCTACTTAGGGTTGCGTGAGCACGACTGTGAATCGAGGCCCACTGGAAGTTGCAAAAATGTTTCTTGGACAATCTAGCCCCAGTTCTACCACGAATGCCGAGGACACACTGCGTATAAAAAACAGCCTTCGCATTTCTCTCAAAGAATTTTTACGCAAGTAAGTTTTCCAACTTTATTGTCACATCGTTGATTGCCTTGAATTAACTAGAAAACATATGGACGCTATAAATAGAATTATTTTATCATAATTGCAAGGTAGGTTAAAGGAGATTTTTTTGAGAGAAACTTGGGCAGTTATTTGTTTGACCTGGATAGTATGCAACTTAACTGTGTGTTCTCCGAAATTTAAGCAGATCCTTGAACGTCGTGTTCGAACACCTTTAATTGAAGTTCGCCCAACTTGGTTTAACGGGTTTGAGATTCACCTTTATACAGTATTACTTGCAAATTTTTGAATTGTGAATCTCGAATGACTACGTGTATGTTAACTATAAACAGTTAGATGAAGTAAACAAACACTGTCATTGTTAAGAACACTACGAATCACCTATATCTATATTTTAGGTCAGAGGAGGCCATAGACGTCAACCGTCGGTTAGTTGGACCTGATCAGGAGGAATACCAGCATGAATTAGAGCGCAGCTTTTGTGAAATGAAACGACAAATGAGTCCTCTTTTGAGACCAAACTGCATTTCAAGGTTGCATTCAGAATTTTAGTCAATTTTATGCGAATAAGTTGAAAAATAAATCTCAATGTAATCAAAAACAGCCCTTTTACAATCCGTTCCAATTTAGACTTTCCGGTGAGGGAACTCATTCTCCTCGTCTTTTTAGCGAACGATTAGTGTGCGTATGACCTCACCCTATGGCTAAACTCAAAGCTACCTGCATATGTGCCTGATGCTGTGCGGACGCTTACACATGGATAAGTAGGCAATAGTGAGGGAAACATTCGCTGTACCGATCTCACTAACTCTTCCAGTATATTTCGCGTTGCCGGGAACAGGACTCGCTAGAGATAGCGGGCGACAATAAACTGATACTGAAGTAGGGAAGGGCTTCTTTAGGAAGTTTGACACTTTAATGTGTACATTTTCGGGACATGTTCGCCCGCTCATCTTCAGACCTAAGAAAATGTGCAACAAACAATTAAAATTTTGAACGCGTTTATCTGGCGTGCACACCGATTGGCAGGATTATGTCAGTCTGCGCAAGTAGGCGTTACGTGAATTTCATCAATCCACTGTGGTTGGTGTCGTGCATTGAAGTTGGCCTTGATGTAATTATAGCTGGCGTTCAAATCGATATGCCTGTTTATGCATCCCTCGTCTGAGTGCATTGCTTTCAGGAATTCATGGCCTTTTTTATTTGGATAAGTGCCAACAATCTGTGTGTTCTCCCATGCGAATTTTTGGCCGGTTTCTAGTGTGTGCATGGCCACCTGGGATAAATGGTCTCGTCTTCTGACTGCTGATTGATGTTGGTGTATGCGGGCTGAGTTGCATTTCCCAGTTTGACCACAATAAACTGCATCACAAATGCAACACGGAATCTTGTAGACAATCCCTTTTCTTTCAAGATAGACAACCCTGTCCTTAGAATGTACAAGTTGTGATCGCAAGGTGGTTGCGGGTTGGTGTTCTACTTGTATTTGGTGTTTTCTTAGTTGTCTTTCGACAAGCTCAGATACATTTTTACATATGGGAGAGTATGCCAGGTTACCGTTTTCGATACCCGATTGGCCTTATCATTTGAAATGCCTTTTTCTTTCCCTTTGGATTCTTGTCGTTTTATGCCTTGGAGCACGAAATTTCGTGGATATCCATTTTTGGACAATAATTGAAAAAGGTGTTTCATTTCTTCTTGGTAACCTTCGTGATCAGAGCACTGTGTTTTAACTCGATTGAGGAGGCAGATGGCCTGCTCCACTTCACTCCATCGGTAGTCGGTGTGGAGCAAAAAAGGTCAGTCAAACGCATTCGACTTTCGTCTGGCCTACCAATATCACCCAGTCAAGGATGGATGCCTTGGAAATGTTGGCTGAGCACGAGGATATGACAGGTGGCCTCATGCTAAATTCCATGTGGTACTCACTCCCGTTGTAGTGGCTGAAGACGTTGAGGGTAGCGCACACCGAGTAACTAGAAGCACTATGAATAAATATTGGCTAACTCTTAGTTGAATAAATGTGTTAAACATCTCAACGCGCATGCATACGATAAGAGCGAATGACAATTCAGAGAGTTATAGACGTATAAGACGGCCGAATGCGAAGTGAATAGATAGTAATTAACGAAAGGTAAAAAATGGATGATTTACGGCAAAGGAAGACATGTCTGGATAAGAGCTGAGGCTGACATGTCTGCTACAAAACTGGCAAGGAATGAAGCATTGTAGGTAACTACAGGCAAGGGCCTGGGGGCTGCCCAGGTAATGAGAGGGAAGGGTTGCGATGAGATGCGGTTACACCATCGTCATCCCAAATCCGCGCTTAAAAGTGTCACTTCATTTAAACTACTCAGTTAGTCTTGTGGTATGTTACACCGAGTTCTAACCATAAGCCTCTTGGTATCTGGCCCAGAACCACCTGTAATGCGGGAGTGGTACCTTATCCTATGCTCTACCGAACTACTTAAGCATGACTCGGTCTCAAGTAAGCAAGATAGATGTTGAGGCTAGGGACAAACTACGCATGACCCATTGAAAAATTGTTCAATCAAGACTGTGCGAGTAGTCAGATGAAAAAAAGATCTGTATTCGCTCCTTCGTCGGCTCTTTTGACGACAGGTTGTTTACCAGTGTGTCGTTTCTGGATGACGTTGGATTACGCAGTTTGCGAAATTTGTTCCCCAGTGCTGCTTCGCGAATCGCTTGCTTTTTGCGGGCCCGTTCAATCACTCTCTGCTGACGTAGTGTTTTCTTCCTCGACCTCAACGGCTAGAGTCGCTGGTCTTCCAACACCACCGACCGAAATTCTGGGCACGCATGTGGATGATACTTTCGTCGTCATCAAACGGAATCAGGTGCTAACGTTCAAAGAACGTTTCAGCAGCGTCTTCCAGGATATACAATTTACGATGGAGGGGAAAGAAAACAACCAGCTGGCTTTCCTTGGTGTCCTCGTCTGCCGCAAAGATTGTGGTGGCCTAAAGACGAAAGCATTCAGGAAAGCGACAAACAGGATGCAAATACTGAGCTTCAACAGCGATCCCCCAATCAGCCACAAACGCAGTTGCGTAAAGGAGCTTTTGAGACGCACTGCAGTGAACCGGAAGACATAGTTGCCGAAATACAATATCTTCGACGGATGTGCAAAGAAAATGGCTATCCGCAGAACTTCGTCAACCGATTCATGCGCAAACGAATGAACAAAAAAAATCACACCGGCCCCAAATTTTGGCGAGCGATCCCGTACGTCAAAAACGTATTGGATGCCGTTGGCCGCCTTCTTGCAGCACTTGCAGTTGGATTCGCACATAGGCCAGAGACAACCATAAGGCGTCACATAATGAAACCGAAGGACCCACTGCAACAGCAAGAAACATCTGGAGTAGTCTATAGGATCTGATGCAGTTGCGGACAAAGCAAATTCGTCGGAGAAACTGGATGACTTTTCAAAACCCGAATTGCCGAACAAGTGGCAGCAGTGCAGCGAAATGATGCCAATTCTCAAGTAGCGACTCATTCGACGAGACTCGGCTACAGATTCAAATTTCATGAGAGCAAAATTCTCGCAAGAGGTGACAATCATAAGAGTCGAGAATTACTTGGGTCGTGTTTTACGGGCCCCCGGTCCATAAATAAGTGAACGACTTACCCAATCCACATTTGGTGCTTAGGCTCAATTTGGACAAAGCAAGTTGCCACCTGGGGAACGCACAGATCAACGCGTCGTCTCACACCAACACCGGGGAACCAGACGGCCGAACAATCAGAACATTCAATTCCACCACGTGTGACGCAATTTCAGCAGGCCACGGCCCGCATGCTGGTCAACAAGCAAGTAACGCACAAGAGGGCAATCATCTTTAATTGTCATTGTCATAAGTGTGCGATAATACTGTATCCTATAAATAATGCAAGTTCCTGCACATGAATTACCCGTTTCTGCTACCGGTTTCTGCCGGCATCTCTGATGAGGATCCGCGACGGATGTCGAAACGTCAAGCCAATCAAAGTCTTTTTCCACCGATCACTTCTTTTTCTTCTTTTTCTCAGTCAGTTTTTTGCTCGAAACTTTCAGACTGAAAAAAAAAACTTTAAAGGCGCAACAGCATCGGGCTCTTCTGCAACTTGATTAGGGAATGTCCTCCCACCCTGGTTACTTGCCCGATCGCAACTGGCAGAAATATCGCAGTGGTTTATGGGAGACCCTTGCCGCTACGATCTTCAAACCCATACCCGTGTGGGAGGGGAAGATGTGCAAGGCCAGTTGGGTGGAATAGTGGGTAGGGATTTGGCATTCACATCACCAAAATAACAGAAACCCCACGTTTGTGTAATTCGGGACCGTTGGTAATAGGGGTTATATGGGTGGGGCATATCAGGGGAGAGGGAAATGCGCAAATAACAATGCATTTTTGAGTTTAAAGTAAAACCATACAAGGTAGGCATTTTATTCATTTTTAAAACGGCAAAGTAACCGCATGTCGCTTACAAAAATAAACCAGACTAAACTAAGCTGCACTAAAGTGAACTCAGTTAACTAGCCTAAAAACTAATCTAAGCTAATCTAAAAGTAAGCTAAACTGCAAACCAAACTATCCTAAAACTAAACTATTAAACTAAACCATAATAACTTAACTCAAAACTAAATTAAAAATAATGAAACTCAATAATAAACTGAAAACTAGACTAAACCGACTAAACTAAACTGGAACTAAGCCAAAACTAAGAAAACTCAAAGTAACCGCACAACGCTAAAGGTTTCCACGTAGGGAGTGCCATGGATTGGTAAATGCTGAATACATACACAAGAACGAGGCTTACTCAAACAAAGTAAGCTGTTAGATGTCTAATAAATTGTTGTTGATGGCCAATAAATCTATAACGGCCATCATATGTTTCTTTTTCTTCACCTGCACTCCCTGCTGTATGAGTATTATTTTCTATTCGACTGTCTGTGTGTGATCTAGATTGAGCTCTGAGGCGCAACGTTAC